GTAATTTAGTAGTGGGCAAAATGTGAGATGTGCATCCAGATAAATGTAATGTAATGGCATAGATGTCTGTCGGTTAAGTCCATATCTATTCATGGGCTAGGATACATGCTAGCGGTCATCGCGTGCAACAAATGTATCGTCGTTGCTTTTCCGGATGGCTCAGTTTGCATGTCAGAAGGATCAATTTTTGGAGTGTACAAAATAACTCTAAACAATTTCTAGGTGGTCATCCCTAATTTAGGTGGATTTTCAGACAATAGAAGGTTGAGCGTCTAGAAACTTACATGCCAACTTAAAAATATTGAAGCAAATTTCTAAATGTTAATGTTATAATTTCTTTCAAAAATATAATTATGGCTTCTAGAACATTACATTCTAATTATAAGAAAGATTCGGTGACAATACCACAAATATAGGGAATTATAGAAAAGACAAAGAAGGCTTCCACGAGTTTAAAAACAAACTTCAAGAATTTTAATAGTCTTCCAAACATGTAAAATTAAGAGGATACACTTTAACCGAGTTTCCCAGCAAAGACAACTTTAACTGAGTTGTGTCCAAGGCGTGCGGCTCACCGGGCATGTTGAACTCATGAGCACTTGAAATGAATGCTTGGAATATGGTCGTTGGTCACACAAGTTTTCGTTAAACATTTTAGTCATATCTCTTCATGGGAAGCGTGAAATAATCTTGGAAATAGAAATCCATGAACCGTGAAATCATAGATGGTATATTTATAATAATGTTCAAGAAGAGAAGACATTTTCATATGAATTTAGTCATTGATAAAGTACATAATACAACAATTTATAAGCAATGAAAATAGGATATTTATAAGTATTTCACACATCAAATATCTATTAGATTAAAAGAAAATAATACTTATAGAAACTTTCTAAGTATAATACTATAAACTTCTCAAATTTCTAGACCGTGCAGGAGCACGGGTTGACGACTAGTAATGATAGTCCAGATCTTGGTCATGATGATGAGGACTTTCTGGACGAGGATAAAACTAAGAGACAAAAAGAGAGAGGAATGGTGCAGTAACTCGTCTAGTGCAGACTTCGGGCTCAGACATTTCGATGCATACTACCACCGCAATTCAGTCCACCGTGGTCGATCAGCTCGCGATGGCCTCTACACCACCTTGCCGCTCCTGGTGGTCCCATGCGTGCGGCTGCATTGAAGTCCTCACCGTTGCCGGGTACCTAACCCGACGGGTGCCTATCCCCTAATTTTGACACGGCTCGTCGTTCCGCGCCACCACGCGGGACCTCGACGGCCTCCTCACCGCGTCGCTGCGGCCTCTGTGCCATCATGTACACTAGTAGAAAACAGGGTACTAGTCCCGGTTTCAGAGGGCCTTTAGTCCCGGTTCTGGAACTGGGACAAAACAAACGGGACTGAAACCCAAAACCTTTAGTCACGGTTTGCTTACGAACTGGGACAGAAGGGTATCCATGTGGCCGCTACGGGGCGGTCAGACAGGAGGACCTTTAATCCCGGTTGGTAACACCAACCGAAATCAAAAGGCAGCCACGCCTCAGC